TTGAACGGTAACTGTTAGTTAAAAAATTACTCAATAAATTGCATTAAAAACCTCCAAAATTTTAACTATTAGTTAAAAAATTAAATGTCATTAATTGATTCCCTTAAACTATTTGTGATGAGTAAAGTCCCTTAAACTATTTCTTCAAAATTTTGACAATAAAATATATTTTTAAAAAATATATTTATTCTATCAACAAACAATAAATACTTTTTCTAAAATAAAAAATATTTTTAAAAACTATATTTATTCTATCAACAAACAAAATAAATAATTCAAATTTCACTTTTTTTAATATATTATAATATTTTATATTATTATATTAGATAATACAAAAAAATTATATTTTAATTTTTAAAAATGTGACATGACAAATTTATCTAATGTGATATCAAGTGGCACTGTCACTTCACTACCACTATTGCAAATCAAGGGGATACAGAAACCCCAAAAATATTGAATAGAGGATTAGAAAAATGATTTTTTTTTAAGTTTAAAAAATTAAAAAATCAAAATCAAAATCAAAATTCCAAAATGCATTTAAATCTATATAAAATTTATTTAAGTAAACATTAATTAAAGTATAATATATGTTTAGCTCTCAATTAATGTAATTCAAACATCTATTATTATTGTGCCATTTTTTTTTTTTGAATAAACCTTAAATGTTATTTTAAAGGAGTTTTAATTTTAAATGTCAGTTATGAAAAGGCAAGAGATGTCAGTTATGAAAAACCTAAAGGTTAATGGTGTATTAATAAGAATTGAATTGCATTTTAATTCCTAAAATAGTAGAGTCTTGGGTCTATATAAAGACTTGGTTGTATTCTCATTTGAAAGAAGCAAGAGTGAAATAAAAATAGTCCTTCTGTCATAAAGAAAGAAGAAATGTGCTTCTGGTTTTATTTTCAATATATATCCTTACGGGTATATAGTATAAGTAGCTGCAAATTTCCTGTTGTCAAATTGGCATCAGAGCTTATGGCAAACATGATGAATCAAATGCCAATGTCGCGGCTAACGAAGTCAAATTACGAAAATTGGAGTATCCAAATGAATGCTCTTCTTAGATCTCTAGACGCGTGGGAGGTGACCAAAGATGGGTTTGAAGAACCAATAGACACTGCGGGATATTCGGCAGCTCAAAACAAGGCGTTGAAAGAAACACGATCAAAGGATAAGACGACATTGTACATGCTGTTCCGAGCAGTTGACGAATCAGGCTTTGAAAAAATTCCCGGTTCGACTACGTCGAAAGAAGCATGGGACACGTTAGAAAAAGTGTTCAAAGGAGCAGATCAAGTGAAGCAAGTTCGACTCCAAACCCTTCGTGGAGAATTGGAGAGGATGCAGATGAAGGAGTCAGAAAAAGTATCTGACTACATCACGCGTGTACAAATAGTGGTGAACCAACTCACCAGAAATGGCCAAACGGTGACTGATGCCCGAGTTGTCGAAAAGATTTTAAGATCTTTAACAGACAAATTTGAGAATATTATGTGTGCAATAGAAGAGTCGAGGGACCTTTCAACGCTCTCAGTCGAAGAGCTCACTGGTTCTCTCGAAGCACACGAACAACGTAAGATGAAAAAGAAGGGTGAAGCAGTCGAGGAAGCACACAAAACTAAGGAGTCAATCAAAGATGAAAAGGTACTCTACTCTCAAAATTTTAGAGGTTGAGGACGTGATCGTGGAGGTCGTGACAGTGGTCGAAGTGGTCGAGGCAGCAACTTCGAGAGAGGACAGTCAAGCCAGCAAAACTGGCGTGGCAGAGGACGTGGACAAAGAGGTGGTCGGTCGAACCACTCCAACATTGAATGTTACAAATGTAAAAAGTACGGTCATTATGCAAATGATTGCAACTCCTACAAATGCTATAACTGTGGTAAAGTGGGACATCTTGCAAAAGATTGTCGAGTCGAAAAGTTGGTAGAAGAAACAACCAATTTAGCTTTGGAAGCCGAAGCAAATGAAGGTTTTCTGTTGATGACTCAAAAGGAAGTAGACGAGAAAAATGACAATATGTGGTATCTCGACTCAGGGGCAAGTAATCATATGTGTGGTCACAAACATCTGTTTAAAGAATTACAAAAGATTGAAGATGGTCACGTATCTTTTGGAGATGCATCGAAAGTGAAGGTCGAAGGCAAAGGTACAATTTGTTACTTGCAGAAGGATGACTTGACTAGGTCAATCCAAGAAGTTTATTATGTACCAGATCTAAAAACCAATATTTTGAGTTTGGGGCAACTCACAGAAAAAGGTTATTCGATACTCATGAAAGATCAGATATTACACTTGAAGGACAAGAAAGGGCATCTGATTGCTCAAGTCGAAAAGGGAAGAAATCGAATGTACAAATTGAACTTGAGAAGTGTTCGAGAAAAATGTTTGCAAGTAAATATCGAAGATAAAGCGTCACTATGGCATCTACGTTTTGGTCATCTACATCATGCTGGTTTGAGGAGGTTAACAAAGAGGAACATGGTGCACGGGCTATCAGACATGGACTATGAGGGAGAGTTTTGTGAAGAATGTGTGCTTAGCAAACAAGCAAGAACCTCATTTCAAAAGAAGGCGGAATATCAAGCTAAACATATTCTCGAACTGATTCATACCGACATATGTGGGCCTATCACTTCAGAATCTTTCAGTGGCAAAAGGTATTTCATTTCCTTTATCGATGATTTCTCACGAAAGACTTGGGTTTATTTCTTGAAAGAAAAATCTGAAACATTCGAGGTGTTCAAAAAGTTCAAAGTAATGGTGGAGAAGGCAACTGACAGACACATGAAATTCGTTCGATCTGACAGAGGTGGTGAGTATACTTCGACAGCCTTTATGAACTATTGTGAAGAGCAGGGCATAAGGAGATTTCTAACTGCACCATATTCACCTCAACAAAACGGTGTGGCTGAAAGGAAGAATCGAACAGTTCTAGATATGGTTCGATCAATGCTAAAGAGCAAAATATGTCGAAAGAATTATGGGCAGAAGCGATACAATGTGCCATTTATGTTCAGAATCGAAGTCCACATTCAAAGTTAGAAGATCAAACACCACAAGAATCATGGAGCGGACAGAAGCCAACAGTTTCTCATCTCAAAATATTTGGTAGTGTGGCTTATGCACACGTACCGGATCAACGAAGAACGAAGCTCGAAGACAAAAGTCAGAAGTACATATTCATTGGGTATGATGAAAAAACAAAAGGGTACAGGCTATTCGATCCCATGAGCAAGAAGGTGATAGTGAGTAGAGACTTTCGAATAAATGAAGCGAGCAAATGGGACTAGAACAGTTCGACAGATGTCATCGTCGAAGATAGAGAATCATCAGTTGCTGTACCAACAAGCATTTCAACAGATATTGAAGATTCTGACAATGAAGATGAACCACTACAACCCAGAATGTGAAGTCTACAAGATTTGTATGATATGACAAAAGAGGTACACCTTGTATGTCTCTTGGCAGATACTGAAAACATTAGCCTCGAAGAAGCATTGCGAGACGAAAAATGGAAAACTGCCATGAACGAAGAGATTAAGTCAATTGAACGTAACAACACATGGGAACTATCAGAATTACCAAAAGGAACTCAACCCATTGGTGTGAAGTGGGTATTCAAGAAAAAGATGAACGCTCAAGGCGAAATAGAACGGTATAAGGCGAAACTTATTGCAAAGGGATACAAGCAGAAAGTAGGAATTGACTATGATGAAATATTTGCACCCGTTGCAAGAATGGAGACAATTCTATTACTCATCTCACAAGCTGTTCAATTCAAATGGCCAATATTTCAAATGGATGTCAAGTCAGCATTTCTAAATGGTGTGCTCGAAGAAGAAATTTACATCGAACGACCACCTGGATACATGAAAGTCGGAAAAGAAGAAAAAGTGCTAAAATTGAAGAAGGCGCTTTATGGGTTGAAGCAAACACCACGAGCATGGAATACACGCATCGACGCATACTTCAAAGATAATAGTTTCAAGCAATGTCCCTACGAACATGCTCTATATGTAAAGAAGAATGGAGGTAATATGTTACTTGTTGCTCTCTATGTTGATGATCTAATTTTTTTGAGTAACAATGATCAGATGATAGAAGAATTCAAGGGCACCATGACACGTGAAAGTTAAAAATATAATAATAATACTCTTTTGTCAATTTATATAAAATTGTTCTTTCAAAAATGTGAAATATTTTCCTATATCTTTTTAAAAAATTTGTTTTCAAAAATCTTCTCCTTCAAAAGCTAATTGCTTTAAAAAAAGTTTACATAATTGATCTATGAGATGATAATAAATATTTAATAGTATATTAGAAAAAATAGTTGATATTATAAAACGCCTTAATATAAATTGTTTTCCAAAATGATTTACAATAAAAACCGAAGGAACTATATTTTAATATAAAAGAGGAGAAGAATGTAATTTAAGTTTTTGTCACTAGAAAAATGTAATTTACTCTAATTTATTGTAAGTTGCAAAGTTATCGGATTAATGAGTCTTACCAATAAGACTCATTAGGAAGAGCCTCAAAACTATGACTCAAAAATAATTTGCTAAATATTTTCTGGCCAACTGCTACATATTTCCCATCTCTTTTTAAGAGATTTGCCTGATATTCTTACATTTCGGGCACTAAGATTTTGTAATAAATAGTAAAGTTCAAAAGATAAAAATCCAAATATAAGCATTGGTAAAAGACCAAACTGTTTATGTGAGAAACATATATGATATTTTCAAATATTTTTCACTAACTTGATGTGAACACAAAAACCAAACTTAATTGCAGTAAATCTTTCATTCCACTAACATTGTATATAAAAAATGTAATAAACAACATCATTCAAAATAAAACATTGTTGCCTTTTATAAGAAATAAGACAAAAATTGTATACTACAAAGAATCAGAAACCCTATGATATGATTGCACAAAATTAAGTTAACGTGTTTCTGTTTTGGCCATATAACACCTAGAATTGAAGGATACACTTAAAAATTAATAGGAAGATTTCTAAAAAAAGCCAAGGTATAGGGAGAGGTAGACTTGCCAAACAAAGAACACCAACGAGGAAGTTTTTCGAGAATTTGTTCAGTTATCGGTGTTAATCTGTTCACATCAGTCCTAAGTTTCAAGAGAAAACCATTATCAGTGCTTTGTGTTGAACCTGGTCTCCAGTAAAGCGTCAGATCAAACAATCTTGGTGCATTCCTTCCTCCGGAAAACTGAATTATGTGCCAACCATCCACACCGCTCTTTTTGTCCACTGGTATCAATTCTTCAGAATTCACGGTATCTGTGGTTCAATGAATGACAATACATCAAACTTGAAAATAACATAGAACTATTATTCTAATCCATACATGAATCCATTTTCATAATAGTATCATTCAGAAATACAAAGTACTTATATTATTGTTAACAAGAGTAATAGTACCTATAAGCTTGAAATCTTCTATTTCTTCGGTATTGATAGCAAGAACCCACCGAATAGAATCCTTTGTGTTGATTGAAACTTGTGTAATTCTTCCATTTTCCTTAGCATCATTTTTGACATGTATTGTAGGAATATCAGCCTCACTCCAACCACTTTTAATGCCATTATATGTCCGACAACCATATTTAACCGAGAAAGTAACAAAATCAACAGGTTTGTCTTTACCACATACAAAACTTTCATCAATCAGTTCTACCTCCTTATTCAAATTTCCAGGGGTGGTAGAAAATAAAGATACATATGATAGAGGAGTATCTCTTTCATCAAGTTTTCCTGTTGCATCCACAACATGTACGACCTGAAAGTACACCAAAGTAATTTGTTTTATTATACTTGTTCATTTGTTGAAATTCGGCTAAAAAATAGATAATTGTTGAAATTATATGATTTTGGTTAGGAGAGAAGAAGAAACAAAGAAAAAATGGAAACTTACATTCACAGCTCTGGCAGTGTCTTCAGAAAATGGGGGAACAGCACCAGAAAACACAACTGCGAGAGATAAACTAAACAGCACCAAAGTAGCTAGGGTGATAGTCCTTTTCGCACCTAGAAATCAAGTTACAAATTGTTCATAAACTCATAAAGTGACAATATGAAATATTACTAATTTACTAAATATCATAGGCAGTGAAAATTGAAAGTATATAGAACCATCAATTCTCTTTCACCCTCGCCGTTTTCTCACCCATCCAACCAAAACAACAAAAAAAAAAGGAAATAGGAACACCCCATTTCTAAATTTTATGAGTTCAAACAACATGTTTGACATGAGAACTTCTTTAAATGTTAACAAAAACGAAGCAATTAGCATTGCATTGTCACGATAATAAGATTTAAATTTTTCAATGTTACTGGCAAAGGAGCTATACAGTAAACAAACCTGAAAGATGGACATATGAAAGAAGATACACCAAGGTCAAAGACAAGAGAGCGGAAATATATGCAGCAATAACAACATTTCCTAGCCACTCGGGAGTACTGCCAGGATTCCTGCACAGGAAAGAAGCATGAATTATAGATGCTGCTGACTATACTTAGAAATTAGCTTTGTGTGACAAAATGGACGTGAATGCAATTGAGTCAAGTTGGTGATGACAGTGGAAGCAGAAAAGATGGCTATGGTTATAATAATAGCATGGTAATAGGGACAGAACCTAACAAGAAGCATGGATATGATATGACACAGAGCACAAGTACTATCATACCAATAGGGGTTACAACATATCTATAATACAACTAAAAATAGTATGAAACTAATATCAAAACATAAATTTTAAACCAAACAAGAGAACCAACATATTAAAAGATGGCATGAGTTATGGTGAACTTAATAAAAGGTTGAACATTTCCAGAATTTGCTTTTGATAGGTAATAACACACATGCACACAGATTTACCTATCGAGTCGAACCATACCCCCTATGATTGTAGCAGCAAGCCGAATAAAAATTCCAGCAGAAATTAAAATTGGTGTGGCTAACCCTAGAACTAGGGTTGCTAGTTTGAGTGGCTTCGGCAACCTGGCTGGGGCTAGCGTTGCTTCAAAAAATCCATCTGAAAATTCCAACCAAAGTTTAGTAGCAGCTAACAAAAGTAGTTTTGACAAGGACAAAGATGAGGCAGCGATAGTTACATGCAAATGCCGGAGAAACTAACCAAACAAGAGCCAAGTATGAAGACCCAATTTTAAAATAGTTCCCCAAAATGAGAAGGATAAGCCACTGAAAGGATCCAGCTTTATAGAGCCATCTTTCAGCCTCCAGCTTGACCAGTTCAGCCTGAACAATGGGGGGAAATTGCCTTCTCTTAGAATGCACATTCAAAAGGAATTTTTGAAATAGAAGATAACCCAAATGTTGACCAGTCAATGCTCCCAAAATAGCTGGTGCACCGAATAACCCAACCACCAACCACGGGCTAGAAACATATGGCACTGGTGATGAAGATATCAAAGGTAGAAGAAAGGCAACAGGAACAGAAAAACCTAAGGAAAACAGCCACATGAAGAGAACACCCAAACATGACAAAGCCAATGAAACCGCAGCTGGTATACCACCCATAAACAATGATGTAACCCATATTAAAAGTGATTGCATTATCACTGAATTGTGAAGCAAATTAGCAAACTTTTGACGGTATACAACCATATATGTTCCCTGAAAAGATCAGACAGTTACAATATATTAGAGCATATTGATATGAAAGTGGCATAGCTAGCTATAACCACACCTATCAGATGGAAAACTAATACATGGCATACATAATAAAGCACAGAATGGCATATGGTCAGCATAACCGAGAATTACCAAAATGTCAAAATATATGGCTTTGTTGTTGCTCATATCTTCCTTTGATTCTGTTGAGCTCTCTTCTGGAAAATGAGAAGATGCACCAATATGAAGCAAGAAAGCAAGCATATTCTCCCCCAGATGTTGAAGAGATCCTTTCTTTAAAAGCTCTAATTTGTCATTCTGCATTAAGAAAAAGGTAACATTTTATTGCAGTCATTAGATATGAAAATATGTTAATAAATTTTTTCTTTCTCGAAAGACAACTTTTCACTACTATAGTTAATACTTCAATAGTTAATACATTGTTGCCTTCGGTATGATTGTCAGTCCTAAATGTACCTAGCTAATAATTTACACTAACTTGAAACATCTTAGTACCCATTATATGTAATAACTTAATCAGCAAGACACAATCACCTATCAATGCATTACTTTTTCTTATCATTTTCCTCCTTACCTAGTAAAAAGTTAGTGTTGCTATATTTACCCAATCACTTACATCAGCATTGGGCTTAGTTTCTGTTGGAATTTCCGCCTTCATTGCGGCCCACCCCTAGTCGCCTAATTGTGGCATTTCACCTGACTTCATTGCAACGCCTTCATTGTGTTGGGTTTGAAGGGGTGGATTCAGTCCCACATTGCTTAGAGATATGGTCTGTGTAGTGTTTATAAGTTTGGGTAACACTCACCTTACAAGCCGGTTTTGTAGGGATGAATTAGGTCCAACTCAAATTTTAAGAGTTTCTGCAATCTTAGTAAATTATACTTGCAAATAAAACTAAACTTAAGGGCGACGACAACTACACATAATTACTTCAAATCCAATTCAACCACAATAAATATGTATTATTGCATGGAGAGCTCTCATACAAGTTTCCTAGCAAAATCTTTTCAACCAACACGCTATGAATTTCGTGATTTGCAATAGAATAAAGAACAAAAAGAAAACCTAAATATTTAAGAGTTTCTGCAATCTTAGTAAATTATACTTGCAAATAAAACTAAACTTAAGGGCGACGACAACTACACATAATTACTTCAAATCCAATTCAACCACAATAAATATCTATTATTGCATGGAGAGCTCTCATACAAGTTTCCTAGCAAAATCTTTTCAACCAACACGCTATGAATTTCGTGATTTGCAATAGAATAAAGAACAAAAAGAAAACCTAAATATTTTATACGACAGTAAGGAGAGAAAGAAACCTTGGTATGATATACAGCAGTATTATCTACATATGCAAAATCAAGCCCAGAGAGGCCAGCAACCTCTTTGTACACTTGGAAATCTGTTGCAGATTTTATGACCCCTGAAGTAAAAAGATCCTGCAGCATATCTTGGTTAATTTGAGTGTAGGTTAAAAAATTTGAAAATAAAAAATTTGCTATAGAGCAAAAGAGTAATGAAGGAAACCTGCAAACCTGTGAAACAGTTTGACCAGATGGGTATTTTGCTACTGAAGCAAAGCTTTCAATAGCCCCTGGATGAGGACCAGCCTACTAGATGCAAGTGGAACAAAATTATTGTCAGAATTTAATAGATTTCAGAGAACTCTCTAAATTATAAGTTTTGGAAGTCAAATATCTAAAAAGCAATCAGATTTCCAAGTCTCAGTGAATGAAGATTGATAAAAAAATTTTAAGGTTAAATACACACTTTCGGCTCCTTTTGGAAGGCAAGGCAATCAAGATTGAAAGTAAGATATGATTGACCTTGACCGCCATTAACAACTAGATGTATTAGAGTATAAATGGGGGGACAAAAGTTCATTGGTAAAATCAAGTAAAAATGACTAGTTGTTGGACAAACTGCAGTTTACACACCTGAAAAATACTAGACTTCCCTCCAATTCCCATGGCCTCTAGATCAATAGCCATACGAACAGTTTTACTCCAAGGGTGCTGCATTAAAAAAATGGTAAGATAAGAATTTTTACATAATATTTGTGTTTCACATACTGGTAAGAAAATCGCTCTACAATTTAGAACAGCTGGATTATCAATAAAATAATAATTTAGAAGAGCTTGAGAGAACTTCTCACACTAATAAATAGTAAAAAAATAACAGATATCATGCATCATTATGCTTTATTTTGTGCTTCCCACACTAATGTTATATGAATGAGTGATGTAGATAATTAACATGTCAACAACTCGAAATTTCTTTTCAAGAAATAAAAATACTATTAAGTGTTGAGAATTGCAACTTGGGTATTTTGATTTTCCCAATAACAATCAATCAACAGAGGAATAATAAAAATAAAAGCATAAAATCCTCATAAAAAGACTTGCTTTAAAATTGCTATTGCCATGTACGTTTTTAAAACGTGTTAAAGAAAAAGACTTATTCCTTAAACCTTCATAATTTAGATATAGTCCATAAACTTCTCTGCAATTGATTTAAACCTTATGGTTTAGATTTGTTCTAATCCCAACATCAGTATTATAATCAGTAGAAAGATTCATGTATTTCAAACGGCTGAGAAGCAAATACGAAACCTGCAAAACGATGCATTACCAAGTAATTCCATACCTGGGTTATGAAGCTATGAGCACCATTAAGACCCTCCTCCTCACCGGTATTAAATAAGAATATAACACCTTTCTTCAATCCATGAGCCCATTGAGAAATTCCACGAGCAAGTTCAAGCATAACACCTACACATGAACTGCAATCTCCAGCCCCTTCACTGTTGAACTAATGCAATATTTTTAGCAACAAAAATAACACAGTGCTTTTAACTAATCAGAAATTGAATGCCGCTCTGTTTAGAACAACCAATGTGAGGACATTTCACACAAACAAACACACTAGATTATATATACAGATATATTATTCATGTGAAATGCATCCCAGAAATCTATAAACATCATATCAGAAACAAAGACAAAGGTGACTGTCTAAAGCAGAAAGATGAGAGCAAATAGATAAAGAAAACATACGTTGAAAAAACAGTATCAATATGAGATGAGACAAGGATGGTTTCTTCTCTTGCATCAGATAGATATTTTGGCAAGATTCTTAAAGCGACATGGTCCAGATCTGAATAAACAAGTGATCTCCCCGCGAATAAGCCACTTACTTGACGATTTGCACCAGATTCTACATGAAAAAAATCCACTTCAACGTCCACCTCCCAATGCGCTGTTTTTTTAATAGTTTTGCATGCTGTCAAAACATACTGCAGTTGGAAGCAGGTTAAGATAGTACATATTAACAGACAATGGGCTAAGAAACAACCACAATTAGTTCGATAAACTTCTGCTATTCCCTTTGATCACTGAACAAACTCAGTAACTTAAATAATGAAAATAAATACATCTCATTTGAAATGACATGTTATGAGCCTATCAAATACCAGACAACTTAAAAGGTATGAAGCAATTATGTGGCAACACAGAAGGTGTAGATAAAACTATATTGTTTTCAACTTTTCCGAACCTTAAGACACTAAATTTTTCCGCCCAAACAAAGCACGTAACAAAGACTTAAATTCTTTTAAATAAAGAGGAGCCACAAGTTATTTTCCTATTTATACACATAATACATATAATATGAGTCTAGAGCTAGTCATCTAAATTGTCAATAACCTTGCATTATGGTTCACACTTATAATAAACTAATACCGTGAGCTCCCAAAATTTCAACATAAAGAATTTTTACTTCAAGAAAAACAAATAAGGCAGTGGAAAATGGATTTGATTGACAAATTTCCTTTTATTTATTTACTTCTCTACTCTTATTTCTAGAGATCCAATGGATCACTTAAAAGCCAAAACATCTATAACACTTAATAAATTCATCAACCTTGTCTTCATACATAATGTACCATAAGACCCTACATGAACTTGTCAGAGTCAACCTAAAAAACAACTTGGAATCATAAAGAATACAACAAAACTATCGAAAGCAAAAATTAACAAAGCAGAGAATCCAACCTACCTGCAAGGCTTGATGCAGAGCTTCAGAACCAACAGGATGAGGGCCAACCTCAGTCAAAGCCTTAACATGGCTGAATGCTTCAATCTCAGAGAAACCCCTCTTTCCCGCCTGTTCTGCTGTAAGAGGCAGAGGCATATTCTGAAACTGGTACTGATAAATAGCTGAACACGAATAAGCAATGACAAAGAACAAGGCCATCCATGCAATTGAAGACCTCTTTGAGCTTCCAACAACAACATTGGTTCGAATTTCAGCATTATTACTAGACTTTTTTTCACTTGCATCACCACTGTTAGACGCTTTCGATGTTACTGGCGCGGTTTCACGCCTCTTCCGCATTGTTAGTGAATTCTAGTAACCAATTTACAGATCAACCCAACCTGCACAAAAATAAACAAGTTTTGACTTTTAACAAACACCCAGTGTGCAAAGTTGACTTAAACCTGAATAGAATTACGCATAAAGAAAAAAGGACCATACTTTATTTATTTATCGTGTATATGATTATATGTAAACCAAAACTATACCTATGATTGGCCAACGAAATCAGAATGAATGAGACAAATCAAAAGAAAAAAAGTTATATGAATGAAAGAGAGAACCTGTGTGTGATGTGAGTACTGAATTGGATGGAAGAAAATAGAATGAAAATGAAGAAGTGACAGTGTGTTCGGAGAAAACAAGAATCCGTGTGTGAGTGAGTATTGAATTTGGAACAATGATTGAAATTTTAATAATTTAATCACACGTCAGTGCTTGCTTATTTGATGAACGAGGGGTTGCAGATTTTGGTCCCTAAGAAAAGACAAGGGTTAGCAAATAAATACCAAATTCAATTGATAAAATAGTAATGATAATAGATTAAGGAATTTTAAACCAAATTCTAACATGTCTATCCTACCAAATCATACTTTAATTTTTAAAATATTAACATGACATGAATGAATCATAAAATTTTATTGAATGAAGATGCAAAACTATTTTACAATGACAATACACTTAATTTTTTCTTCTACCATTTATTTATCATATGTATTATATCATTAATAAAATTTATTTATTATGAAAACAATAACATTTATTTATGATATGTATTATATCATTAATTAACTTAAAATTCAAGCTCATAAATAACAAACTTTTAAATTTTATTCCATAATAGAAAACTTAATATCTAAGTTTTTTAAAAAAGTTTGAAAAAGCTTTATCTTTAATAAAATTTTCAAAAGGGATGAAAAAGTGCTTAAATAAATTAATTTTATCATCAACTGAATAAAAAAATGTTTAAACAAAATCCATTCTAATAATTTAATAAATTATTAACATCCTAAAAATCTAAAATTAAAATATATTAACTTTATTAAAATATTTATATTTTGTTAAAGAATTTAGTTTTAAGTTTTACCTTAAACCCATGATGCATTACCTTTAATCCCATGAATCATTATTATAGAATACGTATGTAATTTTTTTCGTACACATTAATTTTTGAATATATATATATATATATATATATATATATATATATATATATATATATATATATATATATATATATATATATATATATATATATATATATATATATATATATATATATATATATATATTCATTAGTTCATATAAATTCAAACTAAATCGGAATTCAAAATAAACTGTATAATTTGGGTCGGATATTTTTTTAAGTTTCGAAAAAATTTGAATCAAATCAATAAAATTCGATGTTAATTAGTTTAAGTAATGAATTTTTAAAACTCTACCCAATAACCCCTCTATGTGAACCAACTATAATTAATTAGTAGAATTTATATAATCATTAGCATGATAATTAGTATAATCATTATTATGACAAAAATTGAGTCAAATCAATGAAATTTAATGTTAATTAATTTAAGAAAAAAATGTCATTTATGATATTTACAATGGAGAAACAAAAAAAATAAATATTTTATATTATTATAGAAAATAAATTTATGTAAATTACTATGCCAACCTGCTAGGCACGACAGGCAGTAGTGTTCTCCACATTGATTTGGCTGTCATGAGGGATGAAACACATTTGGACATGCCTCAACGTTAGAGTCTTTTGGATCCCATTAGTGAGAAAGAGAATCATACGACATTATTACGCATCGGGGACTCGAAATCGCAGGTGATAGATGGTTATGGATCCCAGTTTTTTAAAGGTAGTTGGGATATGATTAAATCTGACTTGGTGAATGCAACTAAGGGTTTCTTTTATCATGAGAGACTATTCAAAGCCTTCAATGTCACTGTAACAACTCTTATCCCAAAACATGGTGCTGCTAGAACCATTAAAGACTATAGACCAATAGCAGGTTGTACCACTGTATACAAGGTAATTTTAAAAATCCTTACTACTAGATTGGAAAAGGTTATTGGTGACATTGTTAATCATTCTCAAGCTGAGTTTATACCAGGCGAAAAAATTCATTATCACATTCTATTGGCCTATGAATTGATAAAAGGATATTCTAGGAAATGAGGTATTTCTCGTTGTATGATTCAAATCGATCTCCAAAAAGCTTATGATATGGTTAACTGGGATGCTTTGGAATGTATTATGAAGGAGATAGGTATTCCAAATCAGTTTGTTAGATGGGTCATGCTTACTGTCACTTCTGTTACCTATTAGTTCAACATTAATGGGCATCATACGAGTCCTATCCAGGCCAAACAAGGTATCAGGCAAGGAGATCTTATTTCTCCTCTATTATTTGTCATTATTATGAAATATCTGAACAGGTGTCTACGCCAAATGTAGAGGAATCCTAATTTTAACCATCATGCCAAGTGTGAAAAGCTTCACATTACTAACCTTTCTTTTGCAGATGATTTGCTTTTATTCTCGAGAGGAGACTACATGTCACTTGATCTTATGATGAAGGCTTTCAACACCTTTTTTGCATCCATTGGCCTCAAACTCAACCCGGCAAAATTTAGAATTTATGTTGGGGGTGTGGACGTGAGCACAAGGCAAGATATTATGAACCTTACTGCTTTTGCAGAGGGACCACTCCCCTTTAGGTATTTTGGGGGTTCCTTTGACCTGTAAAAAATTATTCATCCCTCATTACATTCCTTTTATTGATAAAATAATAAATAGAATTAATTACTGGAGCACTAAATTTCTTAATTATGTAGGGTGTCTTCAACTTATCAGAAGTGTTATTTTTGCCATTATGAACTATTGGATGTAATGCTTTCTTATCCCCAAATATGTTGTTCATAAAATTGAAACTATCTGTAGATCTTTCTTGTGGGCAGGTGACTCTGATATCAGTATAAAAATCCCCATTATTTGGGATAATGTCTGTAGACCTCGAGACTATGGATGGTTAGATATTATTGACCTTAAAATTTGGAATAAAATTACTATGTTGAAGTTGTTCTAGAACCTCAGTGGTAAGTTTGATAGCTTGTAGGTCAAACGGATACATATGTGTTAAGAGTCTCACATCGGACAATATATGGCATGAACATGTGTTTATAAGTGGGGACAATCCTCACTCTACCAACCGGTTTTGTAAGGTTGAGTTAGGCTCAACCACATTTCTTAACATGGTATCAGAGTCTCGTTTAAGATCCGGTGGGCCACCTCTATGGTTTCCGCTATCGGGTCACCCACCATTTATTTCCACGCTTCAGTTGTCCATTCCTGAGCGTGAGGGGGTGTGTTAAGAGTCCCACATCGAACAATATATGACATGAACATGTGTTTATAAGTGAGGGCAATCTTCACTCTACCAACCGGTTTTGTAGGGTTGAGTTAGGCCCAACCACATTTCTTAACAATATGTATTATCTAAAACATGAGGATTTGATGAATATTAGCATCAAAAGCCATAACTCATGGATTATGAAGACCATCTTCAAACAAAGGGCCACTTTGGGTGATATTCGGGCGGTTTGGGATCATATGCTAAGTAGTAATAAGTTTAAGATGAAGGATGTATACAAGGTGATGTGCAAAGATACCCCACAAGTTAATTGAAGGAAATTATTATGTTATAAAGTTGTTAGTTGTTAGACCTAGAGCACTGATGACTATGTGGCTTGCATGTCATGGTAGATTGGCTACGAAATAACACATTTTTTCGTTTTGGTATGATTTCTAATAATATAGCTATTTTTGTGCACACGAGAGGAGGATCTATTAATCATTTGCATTTTATTTGTCCTGAAAAAGTCTGTATTTGGGCAAAAAAATCTTGAATGGATACAAGTTAATCACATTCCACAACCTTGGGATGAGGAACTAATGTGGTTGAGCAAAAGTAGCAAAGCTAAAAGGTGGAGATCCTCCATATGCTAAATAGATTGGTGTGTAAAAGCACCCTATTTGTTATGGTAATGTTGTAGATAAGACTAAAATTATGGATAATATTATAGATTTGATTGTTTATAGGAGTTGATATAGTAGGAAACTTAGGACACACATAGCAAAGTTAATGATTTTTTAGTTTCCATTTTTCATCTTTTTTGTCTTGTTTGAGGGTTGGATCCGTGGAGTATTCTTTTGTGTTTTGAATTAATACAATCTTTCTTTGATTCAAATTTTTTTATGTAAATTAGATTTTTTTTTATAAATATTTTTACTTATTTGTTTATAATATAATTGACCAATTCAATTCAAACCAATATGTTATTTTTCGAATTACTTTCAATTTGAATTTTATCATAAAAATATGCAATTTCAATCTAAATCAATTTTTTTTTATTGTTTTAGAAATCATATTCTTTCAAAACCGAATAAAATCAGCCCTTGAATACCTCCCAATACATCTAAAACAAATATCAGATGGAGACATAAAATATTCTTAGATTTTATTTCAATTACTATAAATATCATATTTCAATTACTATAAATATGCTAATATAAAATCATAAAAACAGATGTTAATAATATTTATTTACGAAAGTGGAACCACATCCTTGAACCTAACCCGTTTTATCGCTAAAAAATTACCTAATACTTAAAATATTTGACGGCTTCATTTTACATCACACATGCCCTAAAGGAAAATCTTTTAAATTCCTTCTTTTTCTACTTCAAAATCTTTTTCCTATTTCAAATTTTACCCTGCTCTTTTTCACTTCTACCGTGACTCTTCAATCTTCAATCTCCTCAAATTAAACCACTATATAAAAATTCACATCTTGTTGTTTCTATCATTGTTGTTCCTATAGTCATCTCAACATGAACACCTTCTACCTCATGGAAATAAAAAAGGAGAGCGTTAATTTGGTATTTCTCTCTTCTAACTTTTTTACTTTTCTAAATTTCTTTCTATCTATTTTAACTCAATCATATTATT